TAAATATCCGAATGGTGATCCTTCAACACAAGGTTTGTATGCGAAACAGCCAGGATTCGCTTTCGACGCAGAACTTTGGTGGCCTTCAGGATTTAATCGAAGCCAAGAAATTCATATTGACGAACCATATCGTAATGGTACCTACTTTAGCCATTATCAAATCGGATTAGATGGTGGTACATCTGTGTTCAATCCACCGGCGAATTTTTGGAGTACTGAACATCCACCTGCCGGCGATAATTATAAGATTCCTCGCGGTGTCACCCTTAAAAAGGGTGCTTTGCCAAATATGCGCAATTGGACGAAACCAACTACAGGGCTCGTACATGCATTTCATGCCGGTTATTGGGGTAGTTGGGTTTTCGAAATCGCATCAGTTCACCCAACTGATCGCAAAATCACTTTTGGTCGTGGTGGATTTCAAGAGGCACGTGGTAACGAAAAAGGAGGTGCTTATTATGTTGCCAATATTTTTGAAGAGCTCGATTCCCCTAATGAATGGTTTTTAGATAAAGATACTCGCACACTCTACTTTATGCCGAACGGAACCATGCCGAATGTTTTTGTGGGTAGTCAAATTTCATGTTTGATTTCACTAAGTGGAAGCAGCAGTTATGAACAAGTCAATAATGTGCTTATAAAAGGTTTGATCTTTACTCAGACGAGTCATACTTATCTACACGATTACATGGTACCTAGCGGTGGTGATTGGTCTGTTCATCGAGGTGGAACCATCTTTTTAACAAATACAACCAATATTACTATTACGGAAAATTTATTCACGGAGATCGGAAGTAATGGAATAGCTGTTATCGATTATAATCAAGCGACGTCGATTACTTTAAATGAATTCGTATGGTTAGCTGATTCTGCAGTGATTGCCGTGGGTATTACTAATGGTATTGATGGTTTTACAGTAACAAGTCAACCTATCAATACACTGATACAATCAAATATTATGCACGAAACAGGTATTTATGTCAAACAATCAGCACCTGTTCTCATTGCTGTTAGTCGCAGTGTATCCGTCATTGGTAACCTAATGTTCAATATACCACGAGCTGCTGTCAATATAAATGATGGTTTTTACGGAAATCATACAATTAGTTGGAATGTTATGTTCAATACAGTACGAGAGACTAGCGACCATGGACCGATTAATACGTGGGATCGGCAACCGTTTTTAACCGATGGAAGACAAACAGGAGTGCCATCACTCTGGCAGCATCAAAGCTACATTCATCATAATCTTCTCTTTAATAACTACAATTCATTCTATCCAATTGATCATGATGATGGAAGTTGTTTCTATGAAGACAGTTACAATTTTCAAGTTTATGGTGGCAAAAAGAATTATTTGGGTCACTCAAAAATGGATCATCATGAAATCTATGTATATCCTGATACCAAATCAAGTCAAGGTACAGGTGTGTGTATTGCTGATCAAGCACCTCAACGAGGTTCAAGTGGTTGGAATGAAACTTGGATTTACAACACTTGTGTTCTCTATTCAAGTGTAGTGCCATACAATCTCTGGTACTGTGAGACCGATGATTTATTTGTACCATACTTGGCCGACAATCAGATTTATATTCCATCTGATAAAAGTGTGCAATTTCAATGTAAAGTGCATGGTATTAGTAAAAATCTTAGTTTAGAACAATGGCAATCGTACGGTCTCGATCGTGGAACTGTCGTTCAAACAGCACCCAACATTCAAACAGTAATTCAATGGGGTCGCAATATGTTGAAAACAACAGTCTAATCACGATCCATTGTCATATTATTATCAACGACATAAATGAACAGTCAGAAATACTATAGTTGCTGTATATTTTTGTCCTTTATATAGATAGACATTAACTTTTAGATCGTCCCATAAATGCTCTTTTGTTAATAATAATTAGAAGTCTGTATCTTTTCACCTCCAATTAGATGCGAGATGCAATCTTTAACATCAAGTATCCGTCATTTAATTGAAGCACAATTATTTCATCTCTGAAAAGATACAGATAAACAATCATGTGATTCGTTTTTTGAGAATAACTTTGGCTGATTTAATCTGAAAAGAATCTTTTTTGGGTTTAATTTAGATACTGATGTGGATAGATTGCCGTTTAAATGTAACTTAATTTTTCTTAAAGTAAGATGAACATCTTCTCTAACCAATCGTTTTAAATCGTCATATCTACCAAATGGTTGAAACATTGCGTTGCCCGAATAAATGTATCATTCGGCTTTTTATCCATCGAGATAGGCCAGAAACAAAAAGTGAGAAGCCTGAGGAATTAAATGCAGTACCCTTCCCCAGGAAAAGTTTTATCATACAAATTTCAAAACTAAACTTTTACGGCAATTTTGCTAAAGAAAATGACTACTTTTCAAAAATTAGAAGTCCGGAACTGTCTCCGATTGACATATCTCTGATAATCATTTTGCACTTTAGTTCTTTTATAATGAATATATTGAATACTTCTGTAACATGACATGTTGTCCATTGACAAGGATTAATTAGAAAATTTTTATTTTCTTCTTCATTTGTCGTTGTTGTTACATATCACTTCGTTAATTCTGCACGATCAACTGATGTATAAGCTTTTATTCGTTTGCTTTATGATGAGTTCGATTTATTTAATCTGAAGGTCGTACGCGCTTTACTTTAATTCAGTTTGATTACGATAACTTAACATAATAGTGTGGGTGTGGGTGTGGGTGTGGACGTGGATGCTTGTGGAATATGGACGAATCAAGCTTCACTTACATGCACACCCACACCCTCATATTGTGAAGTTCAAACTATGTTCAATCATAATTTCGGATAAAGTTTACATTTTCCGACCATAAATTCTTTTTAAATATGATCATCGTGCTGTAGGAGATAGTAAAGGATGACATATGAAATGTATTATACTTCGTCTTATGACACATAATACTTGTATAATTATAAAATCTATTCACTAATTGCATAAAATCAATTCATTTTAAATTTCAAGATATTAGTATTGTAATGCATTTAAAAAGTAATAAGAAATCCAACAAAACACTTGAAATCAATAAGACTAACAGTTTGATAAAAATAAGGAAAAATATAATCATTGCACAATGATCACTCAGCTAGAATAGAAACACTTTTTCGCAGAGTAATCAAATCCATATTTAATTTATGTTTCCAGCCAATATTCTCACACTGTCTACGACCATCTATGGCAAGCAAAGCATACGAGATAAGGTCTTATCATTTATGATGTGAAAAAGTGTGTTTTATTTAGAAAAGATAAATTTTGAGTTTGTGTTAGTTGCACATGATGCTTTCTTCGGTAAGAATAGTTTTCGTGCTGTGGTCGATAAATATTGTCGGTAGCAGATATTTGATTGATAGAGACAATGACGATGCAACGACTAAGATAGATCATCGTCACGGTACGATCCATAATCCAAATGTTGTGCCCGCCTATGATTGTGCATTGCGAGCTTTCACTATTGAAATGGCTGGATACATTCAACCAAATTCATCGAGAAACAATTGGACTGCCTTGAGTGAAAGCGCTTTTCAAATGGATGACTGCAACAATCAATTATATCATGTATACGAATCTTCCAAAACTCAAAAACCTTTCCAGGCACCACAAGTGTCACAAACGAATAACTGCTTTCAGACTGTGTTTGTGGACGATGCTTTTGGCAATGATACATCAAATGGAACGATCGATCATGCATTAAAAACAATCGTAGGAGCATTATCTCTCACACGTCGCATACGTGCCATGTATGGTAACAATGTCACATTGTGTATTACTCTACGAGGTGGTACATACTATTTCGGAGCGAATGCTACTACACGTAGCAGTCAGATCGGTGTTGTAGCATTGACAAGCAATGATAGTAATCTAATCATTGAAAACTATCAAGATGAGCGTGTAGTATTGAGTGGTGGGATACGTTTAAATCTACAATGGTCTGTTTATGCCAAGTTGTCGAACGGTGGTACCATTATGAAGAGTCTTGTACCACCTGAGATCAATCTTGATGAATTCAATGAATTATATATTGACGACCGAAGAGCCATTGTCGCTAAATATCCGAATGGTGATCCTTCAACACAAGGTTTGTATGCGAAACAGCCAGGATTCGCTTTCGACGCAGAACTTTGGTGGCCTTCAGGATTTAATCGAAGCCAAGAAATTCATATTGAC